TTTTTTTATGAAAATGAAACTTTACAAATAAAATTTGAGTAAAAATAGTGTTATTTAGTTTGCAAGTCTCTTTAATATCTGGCCCAGTAGAAGACAGCTGCACTCTGCTTCTGCCTCCAGTCTGTGTCAGAGACAAGCAGAAGGGTAAAAAAGGCAGAAAATGCTGGTGGAAGTGTTGCACACCTGTAATTCCAGCATTTGGGAGGCTGAGGCAGGACAATCCTGGTGAATTTGAGTCCAATCTGGGGTACATAGTAAGACTCTGCCTTTAAAAAGGGGGTCGGGGGGCGGCAGCAAACATCTTACCATCATTATGAACATGGTTCTGACCTTTTAGGGTACCCTGGACAGGACCACACTTGGACAGCACTGTTTTAGGGCTAGCCTGCAGTAGTGCTTTTGGGGATTTAGGTTCTTTTTTTGTGGTACGGGGTGGAACCAGAGCCGTGCATGTACTAGGCAGGTGCTCTGCCACAGGGCTCCACTCTCAGCCCTTGGAGTCGGGATGGAGACCAGAGGTTCTCGGCACCTCCCCCAGGATTCCCCCATGGCCAGTTGGTACTCAGCTTTTTAATCTCTTAGGACAGCTTCCTGCTTGGAGTCTTGGCCTCTGAGGACCTCACGGCCTAGGGATCGGGCAAAACATGACCTTGCACATGTCTGCCTTCCCCTTCTGGATTTCCTCATGTCAGAGCCCCTGAGCTCTTAACTGTCTGGCGCACAGAGCTCTTGCTTTGTTCCCACCGCAGAGGCTGCTGACAGGACTCATCCAGGGTCAAAGATGGGGCAAGGAGGGAACCCCTCAGTGGGCTTCCTTTCTTGCTAGGACGAACATCTGGCTGCCAGCTTGTTCCCTGATGCTGTCAGCAGCTGACTGACTCTCTTTATAGTTCTCTCAGTCTGATGTAAAATTGTTAGGGTTTTCTTTGTTGTTGTTTTTGAGGCAGGATGATGCAGTGCAGGGTTGGCCCTGAACTCATGGTGACCCTCCTGCCTCGGCCTCCCAAGTGCTGGATTAAGGTGTGTGTCACCATCACCCCAGCCTCTTGGTTTGGTTTTTGGTTTTTGTTTCAGTAAAATTGTCAGTACTGGGAGTGGGTGTCAGCACCCAATTGCTTTTTACTTTTTGGCGGCACTAGAGGTGGAACCCAGGGCTTTGTGCATGTCAGGCAAGTGCTCTGCCCCTGAGCTGCACCCCAGACCCACCACCTTGGTTTTTGGCTAACTTGCTTAATGATTTATCTTGGAGATCTTCCCCACAAAATCACAGAGAGCCTCTTGGATTTTCCACGTACAGTCATTTAAGGATGAGCTACTGCTGGGTCCCTTAGCTGCTTCCCATGGGGAACTCGTGCTCACGTGCACCTATCTGCAGGTTACACACAGGCTGAGCCTTGAATGCCCATCTGTCATTCTGAGAGCTGTCACGTCACTGCCCCCCTTGGTGCAGTGCTGCAGCTCCTAGCATGTCTGAGAAGGGCAGGCTGGCTCCGCCCTGTGGCCTGGAAGGCGCAGCCAGACCAGAGGAAAGCACCAGGGCTCTCCCTCTCCCTGGTCTGTGACAGAAGCACGGTCACACCCGTGGTCTCTCCTAGGACACATTTGACATCCGGATCCTGATGGCCAAGTCTGTCAAGTATACAGTGAACTTCTTAGAAGCCAAAGAAGGAGATTTGCACAGGTAGCGCCCCGCACCCCGCCGCCCAGCCCGCTCCTGCTCAGCTCAGTCCTGCACCCCCCTCCCTGCAGCCTCCTGGCTTCCCAGCAGCTCCTGCCCTTGCCTTCCAGGATAGAAATCCCATTCAAATTCCACATGCTGCACTCGGGGCTGGTCCACGGCCTGGCTTTCTGGTTCGACGTCGCTTTCATTGGCTCCATGTGAGTGTGGTAGTGAGGCCCCGCCACCCTGCCAGCCCACCTGAGGCTCCTGTGACTGGGGCTGGGAGGATGGGGATGCAGCTCCGGGGCTCCTTGCTGCCTTGTGGGAACGAGTCCAGAGCAAGAGGTGGGCTGGGGACGGGGCGCTTCCCTGGCCCGCGTACCTGTCCCTCATGGGCCCTGGTCCATGTCTCTTGGCACATGAGTGTCAGTGGGCGCCCTGCGGCTGGAGGTCCCCCGTGCACAAGTGTGCCCAGCTCTGCCTGTGGGGCCAGCACTTGGGGAGAGCTCAGGGGACAAGCTGGTGGCCCAAGTAGTGGCACCAGCCCAGGCAAGTGCATGCCTGTCCCTGCCCGGCAGAATGACCGTGTGGCTGTCCACGGCCCCGACGGAGCCCCTGACCCACTGGTACCAGGTCCGGTGTCTCTTCCAGTCACCACTCTTCGCCAAGGCCGGGGACACGCTCTCAGGGACATGTCTGCTCATTGCCAACAAGAGGTAAGCCCCACTGCCAGGGCTGGGGATGCAGGGCCCCCAGGCCGCGCCTCACGCCGCCTCCTGCTCCGCAGGCAGAGCTACGACATCAGTATTGTGGCCCAGGTGGACCAGACAGGCTCCAAGTCCAGTAACCTGCTGGACCTGAAGAACCCCTTCTTCAGGTAGGAGGCCTCCGCGCGGGGTGCCCAGGCCCTGCCACCCGGTCCCAAAGCGCTGGCCCTGCCCACACCCCGTCTGCTGCAGGTACACGGGCACGACCCCCTCGCCCCCACCCGGCTCACACTACACGTCACCCTCGGAGAACATGTGGAACACGGGCAGCACCTACAACCTCAGCAGCGGCATGGCCGTGGCCGGTGAGTCGGGGGCTGGGCTGACACTGGGCCCCTGGAGGACCCTGCCCCCTCCCTGCCCTAACGCCTCCCTCTCTGGGCGCAGGGATGCCCACGGCCTACGACCTGAGCAGTGTTATTGCCGGTGGCTCCAGCGTGGGCCACAACAACCTGATTCCTTTAGGTGAGTGTTGCTGCGGTCTGAGCGTGTCGTGGGGACACCGCCCGGGGTAGGGAGGGTCGGGGCCCACGGAGCAGCGCTTGGTCCTCCGGCACCACTGTCGCGCGGCGCCTCTTCCTGCCTGCTGCTCTCTGCCTCCCTGTCGCTACTGCCTCTCCCACGGCCGGGCCGGCGTGACGCTCTCCCCTCCCTTCTTCCTTCCTGCCTGTCGCTGCGCAGCCAACACAGGGATTGTCAATCACACCCACTCGCGGATGGGCTCCATAATGAGCACAGGGATTGTCCAAGGTAACGGGCGAGGGCGCTCACACTGCGGGGGGGCCGGGCAGCCGGGGTGGCCCCGCCCTCAGTGCCCTCCGCCCGCCCCGCAGGCTCCTCGGGCGCCCAGGGTGGCGGCGGCGCCGGCGGCTCCAGCGCCCACTACGCGGCCAACAGCCAGTTCACCATGGGCGGCCCGGCCATCTCCATGGCATCGCCCATGTCCATCCCGACCAACACCATGCACTACGGGAGCTAGGCGCCGCCCGGCCGGACCCCAGCGCCAGGAAACCAAATGAAGCCCGCGCCTGGGACGCCGAGCCTCGACCCCCGCCGGGCGCTCAGCTACGGGACCGGACACTTCTAACAGGACGTCGCCGCTGCCCCACCCGCCCCGGCCGCCGCCACAGTTCACCGAGATCCTGGGGAGCCCGGATCCTGCGGGAGCCCCCTGCCCTGGCTCTGCCCTCGGCGGGGCGGGGCGGGGCGGGAGCCGATCACCAGCCCCGCCCTCCCCTCCGCAGGGCGCAGGCGCAGCCGGCCGGGCAGGACCTCAACTACCAGGCCACCACGGTCACCCAGGGCGTGACATGCTGCTTTTTTTAATTTTATTTTTTTACGAAAAGAACCAGTGTCAATCCACAGACCCTCGGAGAAACCCGGCCGGCCGGGCGCAGCCAGCGGCCCTCCCGGCCCCAGGCCCCGTGGTGGGCGAGGGCGGCCCGCCCCACCCGAGGGTCACCTCACACTTGAATGTACACCGACCGCGGCTGCCTGCAGGCCTCCGTCCTCGCCTCTGCTGCTGTCCTGCCCGCGCCCTGCCGCCCCCGCCCCCGCCCCGCGCCGCGGCACCGGGAGGTGTCCCGCGTAGCTGACTGACCAGGCCTGTGTGCTCCCTCCGGACGCGGACGCAGACGCCGGCCCCACTACCGCCAAGGCACCCCGGCCCTCCCCAGCTGGGGGTCGGCCTCGCAGGGACCTCTCCCTCCCAAAAAAGGAAAGAAAATAAACGAACGAGGAAACGTGTCTCGGACAGGCAGTCTTCTTCCCCCTCCTGTTTCTAGCACCCTGATCTCTCAAGTGTGGCTCAGCCCAAGCCCAGGCCCAGGCCCGCTGCGTGTGCCCCAGGCACGGCTGGGGCCCCTGGCGCACCCCCACCCCGCTGCGGGGTCCTGTCGGGCCCGGGCCCTGCCCTGTGGCTGTGTCATGCGAGCTGCCCTGGAAGCTCCCTGCTCGGCTGCCCTCCCTGCCTTTATATAAATTCTCTGGATCACCTTTGCATAGAAAATAAAAGTGTTTGCTTTGTAAGAAAAGTCTGGACAGTAGCAGAGTGGTCTCGAGGAGTCAGGGAGCCTTCGGTCACCGTCGGGGCAAGGCAGGTGGCCGCCGTGGTGCGGCCTGGAGGGGGCTCCTCGCTGCTCCCTTGCCCCAGTGGGGGACAGTGCCTCACGTGTGGGGCGGGGCTGCGTCTTCCTAGGGGGTGGCCACAGACCGGGCCAGGGTGGGAGGCAGATGTGTGTGCAGGGTCAGAGATGTCACTTGGGCTGGAGGCGCCACCTGCTCCGCAGGCAGTGGCTGGAAGAAATAGAGCTGTGCAGAGACATCCGGATCAGCGGCACTGCCGGCCCGGCCCGGCCCGGCCCGGCCCGCCCCCCCCACCCCCGGGCCCAACCCGCACCTTACAGCCCATGGCCAGGAGAAAGTGCAGCAGCACCACGGTGGACAGGAGAGCCGCAGCCACCAGCCTGGTGTCCTCGCGGACGACGGGCCAGAGGGTGAGCACCAGCCCAGCTGTGGACAGGGCCAGGGCCAGCGCCCCAAATAGCCACTGCAGCCATGGCACAGGAATGAGCCACAGGACCTGGGGCGACAGGCAGCTGGTGACCACACCAGGCATCCACCGCGGCCGGCTGCCACCCACCACCCAGCCGCACTCACCACCATGGGGATGAAGACGAAGAGCGAGTAGCCGTACACGCACACCGTCTCCAGGAGGCTGTAGGGGCCCACGCGCTCCCGCACGCCCTGGCGCCACCGCAGGAAGCCCCACAGCGCCAGCGGCACGAGCCACGCGTAGCAGTAGATGGTGATCCCCGCCACGGTCACTGGCGGATGAGGTGGCAGTCAGTTCGTGCCCGGAAACTCCGCCGCTGCCCCGGGCTGGGTCTGCCACCCCTCTTACCCTTGTGGAACTGGGGGCTGTAGCGGATGGAGGGGTCCCTCCTCTGGGCCAGCACCAGTGTCAGGTTGCCGGTGACAGCCAGGACGAAGGCCAAGGTGGCGCAGATCCAGAAGGGACCTGAGGGGAGAAACAGCCGGAGGCCCAGGGTCCCGAGCTGAGGTGCACTCACCTGCCCATCTGTGGTGCCCAGCCACCCGCACTGCCCTCTCCAGGTCACTGCCCACCCCTCTCTCGCTCGCAACCTGCCGTGTGGCTCAGGGGACCTCACGTACCGCTCTCGTCACCACCCAGTGGCAGCAACTGCTCGACCTTTCCAGTCCCCGAGAGAACCCTCCAGACTTCTCCCTGCCCGCCCTCCCCGCTCCCACCCACCCAGCCGCAGCTACGGCCCGTCGCCCTCTGAGATCTGTGTCTCCACCCTCCTGAGCAGGACCAAGTGTCAGTCTCTGCAAGTGACTGCTTTGTTCTCAGCTGTGCAGCCGGGCCTGGCACTCGTCCGCATTTGCTGAATGAATGAGAGAATGACCCAAATGCGCAACCTCACCCACCATACAGATCAGGATGATTCCGCAGATGGTGTTGTACAAAGTTGTGACCAGGCCGGGGCAGCAATGAGCCTTTGATCCTGTCCAGGACCTGGAGGGCAAGGCAGGAGCAAGAGTGGACCCCACCTGGGTCCTCCCAGGCCTAGAGGCCTTAACAGGCCTCTTCCTTGTGGACCCAGCCTCCCTTCAAAGCCCTACCTGAGAGAACCCAGCCTTCCCTTCTCGGCTTGCCAGGCTGTTCCTGTGGCCCTGAGCCCCGGCCCCAGCCAGCTCTTGCTTGGCTTCCCGCCACTGCAGCGGGTCTGCAGGCCTTTCCCCACCCCAGCAAGTCCGTCCTGGGTTCTCCCGCCTGGATCTCTCTGCAGTATGCCTTGTGTTCTGTGTCCAGTCTGACTGTCACCGAGGCTGGCCTGGAGCTTGACCATGTCTGCTCATCCCACTTGTTCCTCTCCTCCTCTGAAACCTTCTAAGGCTCCCTGTCACCCTCCCCATAAAACCCAGACTCCAACTTCTTTTTTTTTTTTTTTTTTTGGTCTTTTTGAGACAGGGTCTCGCTATGCAGTTCAGGTTGGCCTTGAACTCACTTTGTAGGCCAGGCTGGCCTCAAACTCGCAACGATTCTCCTGCCTCAGCCTCCCGAGTGCTGGGATTACAGGCGTGCGCCACCACACCCGGCTTCCAACTTCTTAACAGAGCTCACAGCTGGACATGCTGGCCGCACTTGGAGTCCCAGCTACTCAGGAGGCTGAGGCAGAAAGATCTCTTGAGCTTAGCAGTTTGAGGCTAGCATAGGCAACACTACCATCTCCAAACAAACAACCCCAAAATAGAATTCACAAGGCTCTTTGTGACTTCGCTTTTGCCTGCCTGTTGGACACCTTGAGCCCCAGCCGGAGTCGCTGGCTGGCAGCTTCTTCGACCTTTCATGGAACATACTTCCAGTCCCTCTACCCTGCCCGAGTCCCTTCTTCCTCCTCCAGGGCTCCGTGAAGCCCTCACCTCCTCGCCTCTACCGAGGCACCAGGCCACGTGGGGCCTCAGTGTTCCCACTTCCCCAGGCAGCACCCCTATCCCTCCTGTGGACTGAGCCCTCCCCAGCACCCTGCCTGAGCCGACCCCGAGTGCGCCTCCCAGGCCTCACCTGGGCGGTGTCCACGTCAAAGAACCTCTGATAGTAGCTGAAGGTCCAGAACCCGGGCTGCGGCTTCTCCTCCTGCAGCAGCTGCACACACAGCGCGGCTTCAGGGCCTGCGCCTGCAGCCTGACCCGGCTGGGGGCTGGACAGAGGCACCGCGCGGAAGCAGGGCACTCACCGCTGTCTTATCACCCTCCTCCTCGTCATCCTCAGCTCCATAGGTGCCACCAGAGCCCACGGCCACAGCCACATGGCCCGGGGAGGCCAGCTGACCACTTCTGCTGGTGGTGGCAGCGTCTGGGGTCTCAGCTAGAAGACTGGTGGCTTCCTCGAATTCTATGCAGTGGGAAGATGTGCCACGGGCACGTTTGGGGCCCAAACGATTCTGACCGGCCGCTGCTCATCTGGGGGAAGCTGGGGTCCCGGCTGCGGCCACCCCACTGCTTCCCCGGACAGGACCCCGCCTCAGTTTTAGGGCACGGAGCGGAGCTCCGCGGCCTTCCTCCTAACGCGCGCTGGAGGCTGCGGTTTGAGGTGCGAGTTCAAGGCGGAAATGGGTTCAGGGATACAGTGGGTCTCAGTCCCCGGTCACTTCCGGTCCCGGTCGGGGGGTCATAGCCCCCGGGTGTTTGCGTTAAATAAGAGTTGGGGGCTGCGTGGGATATTCTGGGGCAGGAGCAGAAACTCTGGCTTCAGGCGGGAGCGGCGACACCCGTCTGTCATCCGGCACCCCGGGAGGCTGAGGCAGGAGGCTCATCCGGAGTTCGAGGCCAGCCCGGACTACACAGGTAGACCCCGAGACACCGTCTCAAAAACCAAAACAGAAACTCTGGCCACGTCCGGGCGGCACTCACCGTGGAAGGCCAGCTCGTCTGCCGCTGCCATGGTGCTTCGGGGCGTCACCGCATCCCGTTCTGAGGACAGAGACCGGTCCAGCCCACGCCCCTTCCCGACCCCATCAGCCCCGAGCTCTGCCCCGCGGCCGGCAACACCCACCGGGAATTAAATTCGCCACCCCGACCCCCAGGTGCACCCCGCCCTCTCACCTGAGGCCACCCTAGCCGGCGTGGCCAGGGCTCTCTGCGCCTGTGCGGCCCGCCTACCCGTGAGCGTCCACTCCGCTAAGACCACAGCAACATCCGCCAGCGGTCCGTTTCCTATCCTCTTCCGGGAGGAAGCCACTTCCGCCAACTTTGGCGATTGCGCAGAAGAGACACCCCGGGCGTTTTATTTCGGGCACCGAGCATTTCTACCCGGAGACAGGACCACAGGCCGGAAGAGGATGGCGACGGCCGCTCTGAAGCGGATCTGGACCCGAGGTCGTGGAGGAGCAGGCGGAGAGGGGGGTACGGCGGCGGCTGCGAAGCCGGGTGTGTGGGCACGACTCGGTGAGTGGCGTAGGAAGATGGCAGAGTGGGCGGGCGCAGCTGCGGAGCGGCTGTCACCGCGCTTCTTCCTTCCCAGGCGCCTGGACGCGCGCGCTGCTCCGGGACTACGCCGAGGCCTGCAGGGACGCGGCGGCGGCGGCGCGGGCCC